TGTGAGAAAGAAGTCAGGGTCTCATGACTAAGCTTAGATGAGAGGGGAAATCTAGCCTGGGTTTCACCTTACGGTGGTGCTAGGGCAGGGTTGGGGGGCCAGGGCAAGGGGCAGGATCAAGAACGGAGCCAAAGAAAAGACTGAAGCACCAGGGGAGGGGCAGAGCATGAGAAAGCATGCATAATGCAGGGTCCAGATTAAGGAGAAGGGGCAGCACAGGGGGCGAGGGTGTGGGTGCAGATGTTGCCCTCTGCTTCCTGGAGGAGAAGGGCCAGTGACCAGAGAGCAGTTCTGTGGCTGAGCTCTCTGAATATGTCAGATTTCCTTCAGGACCAAGGAAACGCCCAGGGCAGGGATGAGGGCAGGGGTGGACCTGACACAGGAAGGGTGGGCCTGGTGGGGAATCTCTTCCAGGGCAACTAGAGAAGGGCAAAGGAGAGTGGCCACCTGGGGCCACTGGCCTGGGGGTGAGGGTCCAGGGAATGGGTGAGGAGGGCAAAGGACAGGCCTGATTAGGGGCTTTGGTCAAACCCCTTTGATAGCCACCTGATAAAAGCAACACTTCTCCGTCCCGGTTCCCACAGCCACCATGCAATTTACTGTCCAAACCTGGACACTTTTGAGAGTAAAAGTAATAATTACTCCAGGACAACAGGAGTAAACTAGACATATTCTGGGCACACTGGGATATGTGGTCACCCTAGCCATGCGGTGGGAGGCTGGCCCTTGTGCTCCAAACCTGGCCCTCAGGGACACTCTCCCTGTGACCACTGCCTCCCCTAACCTGTCCCTGGGCACTGAAGTTGAACTCACAACCTTGAGCACCTGAACATCCTCGAGCACCTGAACCTCCTCAGAGCCAGTTCTGGAGAAAGGCGAGGTCCATCTCCCCACACCCTCTGCTTCTCTGATGACTCACATGGCTGCTGCACTGTTTCCAGAGCAACGACAGCCCACAGAGGTATGTGGTCCTTCCTGGGGCAGTGGGCGGCAAACTGGAGAACCCTTAGGAGCCTGCCAGTCCTAGAAGGGTGCATGGAGGCTAGAGTGATGTTCACCCACGTCCCCCTGCACCGTCCATGCCCCCTCTCAGCAAAACCCTGGGATCCTGTCTCTTTCCTCCTGTTTGTCCCCCATTTCCCCACAGGCTGCCAGAAAGTATCCCCACATTCTCAGTTGCTGGTTTTAGTTCAGCCTTCCCCAGCACCTGCCTAAAACGCTGCAACAGGTGCCCCTCAGGTCTTGCAGCCTTAAAATTATTTTTCCCCTGCCACAGGCACAAGCTTCCTTTAACCCAGGCCTGAACACCAAGTCTAAGCAGACAAAACAAAAAGAACAAAAACAAACAAAGATCCTTCCGTGGGAGGAAAAACACATGAAAAAAAAAAAAAAAAACATCACCACAAAGTTCAACTTCCTTACCAAACTAAGTCTACAACTTCCTTCATGAACTGACTCCAAGTAGCCTTCAGCCTGGTTCTCAACACCTTTCACTTCACACAGCTCTTTGTTAAACCGTGTACCTCCCTCCTTTGCTGAAGCCATATCCACCCATCTGGAATGCCCCCTCTACCTGGTGGATTCCTGCAGCTTCTTTAAGGCCCTCCCACACCTGACTACCTCTGCCCCATCCTGAGTTCCTGCAGTTACTTTCATCCCAGACCAGGTGTGATAGTGATTCTGTGTTTAGCTGTCTCCCACAGCTGGAGGTCCAGGGCCCGTGACCTTTGTAGACTCAATAAACAGGGACTGAATTGACTGATCCTTCCTACTCACTCCCCATTTTCCAGAAGGATGCTCTTCAGAAATAGACAGGATGGCTTCTAAGGTCCCTGCTAACTCTGAAACTCTACAAGAAAAATTGCACGGGAATCCCTGAGGGTCCTCAAAACCCTCTCAGGGGATCTGCGGGGTCAAAACTATTTTCATAATAATACTAAGAGGTTCTTTGCCTTTTTACTCTCATTTCCTCACGATTCTACAATGGATATAGGATATGTAGATCTGCAAAAGATTGAATGTAGAAGCAGATGAGAATCCAGCTGCTTCCATTGTCAGACTTTTAAAATACATTACGATGTCATTCTTTTTTACTAAATTTGTTTGTTTTGAAAAATAGAAGTCTACAGCCATGTCACCCTGAAAGTGCTCAATCCTGTCTGATCTCGGAAGCTAAGCAGGGTTGGGCCTGGTTAGTACTTGGATGGGAGACCACCTAGGAAGACTGGGTGCTGTAGACATAAAAAATAAAAAGTAGGGGATTGTAAGCTGACAAGGTGCTTGTAATCCGTGAGGTCAACCAAGGGTTGCCTCGCCTAAAAGAAAAAAAAGAAAAATAGATAACAATGCCACTCTTTTCACTAATTTTTTGTTTGTTTGTTTTGGAAAATAGAATCATTTTTCTTTAAAAACATATCAATGTGTAATGGATTTATTATTTTTATTTTTAATTTAATAAATATGTTTCAAACTCTTCAATTTCTAATACATTAAATGTTGTCAATAGCTATATCCCACATAAACAAAAGCTCTTGGGGTCCTCAATAATTTTTAAACTGTAAAGGGATCCTGAGACCCCCTACACCCTCTCCACACCCTCTGTTACCCCTCTGCTTCTCTCTCCTGTTAGCAGCTAAATTTCTAGCAGCCAAATTTCTTGAGAGCTGTCTATGGTCCCTGTCTTTGGTTTCCCGCCACTGTTCCTGAAATTGCTCTCACCGAGGCCACCAAGGACCCCCGGCATTTCATCCAGTGGACACCTCTATCTTTATTGTCCTTGACATCTCGGCAGCATGATCCTGGCCTCCTCGTTCTCCTCCACCTCAGAGCATCTTGTTCTCTACTATTCTTGCTTCACTCAGGTCACCAAGGATGGGGACCTCAGGGCTGGGCCAGACCCTTTATTCTCTCCACTCTCCACTCCACAGAGCATCAAGCACCGTCTCAATGTGTATAGCTCCAAATCTCTAACTCCAGCCCAGATTTCTCTCCTGAGTATTAGACCCACATATCCATCTGCCTCCTGAACATCTATGTAGATGCTGCTGCCCTCTACAGGTACCCCCAACTCAAACACTCTAACATGGGGCAGATCACCCCCAAACTTCCCAACTCTGAATCCTGGCCCTCTCCCTTCTCCCTCACTCTCCTCATCACCAGCTACACCAAATCCTGCTGACCTCACCTCCTAAGCTGCTCTCAAACCTACCCTCCTGTCCATGCCCACTGACACAGCTCAGCTCAGGCCACCTACACCTCTCCCTGGCCTCCCTTTGACCTTCTTCTTCCAATGTGACACAGAAGCCAGTGTTCATTCTTAAGCAGTCTCTTCCCTGCCTAGAATCCACAGGAGGTCCCCACTGACCCAGGAAGAATGCTGCCTCCACAGCACAGCTCACCAGGCCAGCCAGCAGAATGTGGCTTGCAGTCCTGCCACCTGCCCAGCCCCTCCCCCTCACCACTCTGTGCCAGCCAATCTGACCCTGTTTTCCCTCTCTAGCACATTCTATTCTCTGCCTCTGTTCACTGAAGACCCCTTCTCAGGCTCAGGGGTCAGCCTCATCATTCCCTCCCCAGAAAACCTTCCTGACCACCCCTCCCAGGCCAGGAGCCCTTTCTAAGCTGAGCGCCTTGTTCTCCTCCCATCACAGCATATTTCATACTGAATAGTCACCATTTAGAGTTTTTAGGCTCTGAGTTTCTTGAGGAGGATGATTTTCTTCACTGCTATATCCCCAGTGCCTAGATCAGTGCCTTGCCTACAGCAGCTTAGTATATACTTGCTGAATGAATAGCTTGAAGAATTTGAACCCATGTGCAACTAGCAAGCAGCCCTCCCCATCCCCATTTGGTATACAGCAGGGCTCTGCTCCAAGCACCCAGACTGGCCTCCTGGTCCTGCCCCAGCACCAGATGCCCAGGAGGCGGCCACCCAGGGCTCCCTGCCACACACTGCCTCCTCCTGTTCTGTTGTCCTGACTGAGCTCCCAGAAGAGGCTGGCTGGACTCCACACTTTTCTCATCAATGGCCAAGGCACAAGGCTGCCAACACATGGGCAAACTCCTCAGGCACAACACTGCTCAACTTGGTCAGAGCTGTTCCTGCCAGGGACAGCCAGATCAATACAGGACACCAGCCACAACAAGAGGAGCAGCAACACATACCACACAGTGTTCCAGTGTAAAATAACACTCAGAGGGCTGAATACTTTCCTGAAGGTCACTGGGCCAGTGAGGGAAGGGGTTGGGTTGGAGCCAGGCTCTTCTGCTGCTGAAGCCTATCATCTGGGCCCCACACCCATTCTGCAGCTTCGGGAACAGAGGCTGAGCCCACTGAGGGGCCATTCCCAGTTGCAGAGCCCAGGGTCAGGATGAGATCCTGGCAGCAGAGATTTGCACCCAGGGGCCAGGGTGGGGAAGTAGCTGAGGGCAGGCAGGGGGTGAACAAGCAGTATTCCAGAGGGCACCCCAGTAATTTATTCCATTGTGGGAGTCCTGGCAGTTCAGGATAAGTGAGAAGGCACAGCTCTCACCCCAGGAGGCAACAGTGAACACCTGGAACTCAGAAGTCAAAGGGTTACCAGGTCTTCCAGAACACAGGTCTCTGTGCCAGCACTCTCCCAGAAATTGTCACTACCCTATCCTCATCCACATGTTCTTCTAGCATGAAGCCAGAGATCTAGCCTGTCAGGAAGAGGCAGCAGCTTGCCCTGTAACTGGAAGAAGATCTGGTCTGAGCTCCAAGTCTGCAAACCTCCTCAGAGAAGCTGGGAGGAGACACAGGGTACCAAGTCAGTGGCAAGGACACTGCTCACAGGGCTGCCAAGTACAGATGCATGGGCTGCATTCTGCATGACTCAGGGTGTTCTTTGTGTGCACTAAGACATGAAGGGTGTCTATGGGAGTGGTGTAACCTGGCAGGCCTGCCTGCTGAGCTGCCTGCTCCCTGAGGGAGGGATGGAGATGAAGAGGGAACCCTTTCCCCTCTCATGAGGCTTCCAGGGCTTCACCACCTCACTCATCCCACCCCTCATTTGAAGAAAGAACCACATTCCTGCACAGCGCAGCTAATAAGAGTTCAGTTTATGGATAATATTATGGAATAGACAGGGATGGTGCTGGGACCTATAGTGATAAACTTCCCAGGAATAGACAGACAGGATTGTCCCAGACACACAGGACAGGGAAACAAAGCCAAATGGGCCAGAGGCCCAGGACCAGCCTCAGCAGCTATATCTGGACTCCAGATCCAGATTTGCCCTGGGGACCTGGGGGGATAAACAGGGCTGACAGGGGCCTCAGTTCCTATAGGGCCCCCTCTCCTCACTTCCTCCTGTCCCCCAACAGTGGGCTGAGACCCTTCAAAAGTGGTATTTCTGGGGCTAAGGAATGGTTGGGGTGGGGGCAGAGGGTCAAGGCTCTTAGAGGCTTCCTGGAGAGGTGGAGGCTTGGGTAGTGTGGGCTTAGCAGCAGCACTGAGGGGAATCTGGTCAGGCACCATGTGCCTGGAGTGGGGCACTGCTCAGCAGGGCCCCTATGTCCAGGGCAGGCCCCCCACCCTGCCCATCACACCAACATGGTGTAATAAAGTTTCAAGTAGTAAGTCAGTGTTAGGCAGGAGAGAGCTGAAAGCTGACAGACAGGTAGGGGCTTAGAGAAAGGAGCCCCCACTGTCCACTGAGTCCTCCAGCTGTATCAAGTCTATGTGCACAGGAGTGGAGACCTGGTCCCCATGCCCATGTAGGCACTTCCTTCAGGGGCTCAGCCCCTCAGACCAGTGCCAAAGCCTGCTTGGTGGGGCAGAAGCAGGGCAGCATGGTGCCCACAGCATCTACAATGGCTGTCAGGTGCTCGTCCTGTGCCTGGGGCCCACACAGCTGCATGAAGTCCGCCAGGCGCAGCAAGTATTCAAGGTTGTGGCCGGAAAAGCCACTGCAGGCCAGGATCTGCGTAGCGATGGCCTCCTCAGGTGCAGGGCCCAGGTAACCAGGGTTCTGTGGGGTGGCCACATAGGCCAATGCCTTGAGTGGTTGGTCAGGGGTATCTTGTGGGTAGAAGGTGACCTCCTTGGTATCATAGCCACCGAGCACTGCCTCTCGCACGTTCAGGTACTTCAAGGCCTCGCTCACCTGCTCACCTTGCACCTGGTATGCCACGCCCCAAGTGCAGCCCTAAGAAGAAACATGTATACCAGGGTCAGTCACAAACAGCTCCTCGCTGGTCCCACTCCAGGACTATGCTCAATAAGGGAGGTGGGAGGAGGGCTGATCAGCCATCTAGTAGCAATACATCAAGCCCTCATTCACCCTTTCTTAACAAGGGTTGACGAGGTGGTCTTGCCCCAGAGTAAACAGGATTACTTCTCAGAGTGTGTCTGAGAACCAATGGCATCACCTGTAATCTTGTTGGGAATACGCCTTTCATGTTCTAACAAGATCCTCAGGAGATTCTTGTGAGAAGCACTGAGCTAGACCACCCTTGCCTTGAACCAGAGAGATATCTAATACCCCTTGGTGCTGGGTGCCAGAGTCCTCTATTCATTCAGGCACTTACCTCATGATCTTCAAGAAGGGTCACCACACGCCCAGGCTAAGAAGAGAAGAAAGATTTTGAAAAAGACAGGTTAGAAATCAGCTCTACCATCAGTGCCAGAGAAAACCCTTATTAACCCAGCCAGTCCAGGCCTCAGAGAGTCCCACTCATCCAGGGGAAATAGAGGGAGTGATGCATGGATGCAGGAGAAATAGACACATGACTTGGGCCCAGATTATAATCAGAAATATTCATTAACACGGTGATCCAAAAGATCACATATCCAGCCATCATCACACAGCAATCCACTGGGCGGGCACACAAATGTAAGCCGCAAAGCCCCGGCACAAGTTTACACATTTCCCCCATCACACTCTGCCCAGAGAGCCCTGGACATTCCAGAGCACCAGCACCCACTATCCTGAACCCATCCCCACCCCTTATTCCCCAGGGCATGGTCGGATGCTCACCATCTTGTCACTGCCCCGATGGAAGGTGTCTCCCTGCCAGAACCGGCGGCTATAGCCGCGAACGAAGCCCACACGGCTGTCGCTGTAGGCGAAGTCGGGCCTCCACACCAGGGAGCCGTACCCGAAAATCCACAGCGCTTGGGGGTCGACGTCGACCCGGGGGAACTGCGCGGGCGGCAAGGCGGGCTGGCTGTTCTGAGCTGTGGACTCCTGCTTCATGGTGCCGGGCACAGGGACGGACCCGAGCGGCCTCCGGGGCAGGTCTCCGGCGTGGGCACGGAAGGACCGACGGACGCGCACACCTGGCCTGGCACCGCTTGGTCGCTCCAGCTGCGCGGCCCCATCCAAGGCCCTTTATAAACCCTCCGGCTGGCAGGCCTCCGCCCACCGCGGCCAGCTGCCGCGGTGATTGGGGCGGGGCAAATCCCCTTTTGGCCAATTACCTTCGGGTTTTGCTGCCCGGTTAACCGCGCCGCCCTCTAAATGGGTAACTGAGCCGTCTGCCCCCGCCCCGGCGCGCCCGCTGATTGGTTCGGCTCCACCTCTGTAGCAAACCTGTCAGGAGTGATGCAACGGCGGGGGAGGTTACCCTAGCACTGGCTGCATGCAGCAAGGGCGCCTCGGATTGCGTCAGGCGGCAGGCAGTGGGCACGGACGCGGGCACCGGCAGTCTCCTCGACAGCCCTCTCCATGGCCTGAGCCCTTCATGAACCGCGGCGGGCGGTACAGGCGAGTAGTCTCCTCCGCAGTCCTGCGGGTGCACCTGGCCGAGTCACTGCCACCCTAGGCAGCACGAACTCACCAGGGCCAGTGCAGGGCACCGCCAGAAGGAGCGCTCTGGGCGGTGTAAATGCCTGTCTCTGGGCTCCGCCTGGGAGCATGAACTCTGGAGAAGCTATTGGAGGCCCCCTCCGCATTCCACACGGGTGCCTCACGCTGTTGGCCCACGTGAGCAAATGGAGAAACTGAGTCACGGGGCTAGCAAGGGTTCTGCAGAGGCTACGATGCTGAGTCCGAAGCTTGCGAGCCTCACGTGAGGGCTACGCCTGGGGCCAGGAGGCTGGGAAAGAACCAGTCAGAGCGCTTGGAACTGTTGCCCTCACTTTGTGGCCAGATTTGCGGAGAGGCCATAAGGACAGGAAAGCCAGGCCAGTCCTGTCTTGAGGCGATAGGTTTAGTTTTGCGGGGACATGAGACTTTAACAGTGGTTGGGTTAATCTTAATTTAGGCACAGAGATTCTGGGAGTGGCGGACTAGGAGAGCCAAACTGAGGCTCCCAGGGGGCGGTGAGCAGCTACGGGTCTCTTGGTCTCTCGACCCGATAAAGGATCCTCTCCGGTCATCTGGGGTTGACCCCCTAAGGAGCGGCAAGGGCCTGTCCCCTGCGGATATCTCTGGCTGGGAAAAGGAAACAGAACAGAAGGCCTGTCCCTCATGGGACTGCTGAGGAGGTCCGGGTGAGCCCTCTGGCAGGGGAAATGGACAATATTGCTTCTCATTCAATTCTAATTAGATATTGAAACAAAAAAAGTTATCATTCCAAAGGTGTCTAAGATATTCTCCAGTAGGAATGTTGCACTATAATGTGTACAGTATGAAGCTAGTTCTTTTAAAACAAGTTCTACATTTATGTGTATTTAAAAAAGTAATAATTTGGAGGTACATACCTAAACTGTTAGCAGAGGAAGACTTTCAATATTAAGTGTAAACATTTATGGAAAAGTGGATATTTTACAAGGAGCATGAATTACTTTTCCGGTTGGAAAAAATTACAGGCAAAAATTGTTGTTTGTTTTTTGTCATTCCTTTCTTTTAACCTCCATTCTCCATGTTCACTCTCCCCTCTGCTCTCTATCCTGTCCCTTTTAGTCCATATGACACCTCCTTTGCTACTACCTTCTTAGAATATCCCCCTCTCCATCTACCACCTTTGGGTGGTTGGGTGACAGGCAGAAAACTGGTAACAAACGATACCTTGCTGTAAGTGTCTGAATTTTCACAAACAACCCTTTGAAAAATCAGCTTAGTGATACAAATCAAGAATCATAAAATGTCCCTGCCCTTTGACCCAATACTTCCACTCCAGGAAATTATTCAAAATATGGGGAAAGCCATATGCCTGAAGATTTTTCAATGTGTTATTATAGAAAAAAAAAACAAAAGAAGAAAAACTACTTAAATAACTCAAATAGCTCAATAAGTAAATTATGGTCAATCCACATGGTGGAGAAACACACACACACACATACACACACACACACACACACACACACAGAAAACAACTTTCCAACAATAGATGATTACATAAATTTAATATAGACAAAATTAAATCTGTGCAGTCATTAGAAAATTACGTATGCCTGTATTTATTGACATAGAAATCTATGATGTATAATTAAGTGAAAAGCAGGTTATAAAATAGACTGATGTAACTCTTTAAACTTAAAAAGTCTGTATATATTTCTTTGCTTAGAAAAAAATTTGAAAAAACACATAAGCATGTTCAGTGATTGCCTCTAAGTAGTAGAACTACACGAGATTTGCACTTTCTTTTTTATACCAATTCAGATTGTCTTGGATTTTTTTAAGAGAACATAACCCATTTCTCTTTAGGAAAAAAAGTTAAAAATAAAAATAAAAATCCATTATGAAAGCAATATAGTAAAAATGCCTATGATTGTATAGTAAGGTAAAAATGCAAAATATGACTATCACATGTGCTAAGATTAAAACTAAAAACAAAAGCAAAATGCATGAAGGAAAAGATGGGGCTGGGCACCATACATGAATATGTTGGGGTATTGGGATTATGGGTGATTCTTTTCTCTATTTTCTAAGGCTTACGAAGTATACTTTTTAATAATAAAAAGTTCCTTTTAAAGCGTAGCTAATGGGTTTCTAATAGCTAAGAAGCAGGTAACACATCAGAATCACTTGGAGAACATTTTCAAGATGCCCATTCTGAGACCTCCCACCGGGACCAAAGCCCCACGTTTTAATGACTCCTTTGGTGAGGTCATTAGTAATCAGCACTTGTTCCAGGCAGAATTAGACACTCCCTCCTCTGTGCTCCCACAACTCCTTAACTCACTTCTGTTTATTTTTCTGTTCCCTCCACCTTATAACAGAAATAATCATTTATTGAGGGCTCACCATGAGCTTGCTAATTGTTTTTACATCTATTCTAATTACAAATTTCTCCACTACTTTGTGAGATAAATATCATTTCACAGATGAGCAAACTGGAGCACAGAAAAGTTAGGTAATCTACTCATGGTAACATGGCATGTTGTGGAGGCTGGGACTGAAGGCAGGTAGTCCAACCACAGAGCCTACTTGCTGATAGGCATTTAACATTCTGCCGCCCATGAACCTGAGAGCTCCCTGAGCGCTCCCTGAGAGCAGACTTCACCTTTGAACACGCAGGAGAACCAACATAGTGCTGGCTCATGGAAGGTTCTCCACAAAACTAGGTAAAAGAAGTGAAGCTCTTACTTGAAAACGATCTGGGCTCCCTGGGGTTCAGAAGAGGAGGAATCCTGAAAGACACAGGTTCAACCTTGACCCTCTCAAAATAGGAATCCTCACAAAAGTTGTCCCAGAGGTCTTGGCCACCTTCCTGGGAACATCTCTCTTTCTCACTCCTTCCTTATCCTTGCCACCATCTGTCTCTTTCACTCCCAGTGGGACACTCCTAGGCAGTAAACCATCCACACAACTGGTTCCTTTCTAACAACTGCAGGAACCATCCCATCTTTCCTCCTAAAATCTTCTCAGGAAGGACCTACAGATGTCATGCCCACCTGCTTATGAGAGGTGATGAGAGCATGACCTCCACCTTGAAGAGCAGCACATGATTTGCACATGATGCATACCTGGTGGTTTTCTTTTTTTGGACCTTTCTCAAATTAATCTTTCCTTATTGTTCCCCTTTAGGCAGTCACTTCTCATTTCCTTATGATCTATTCCTTCTCACTTCTCGTTCCAGTCACTACAATCAACTCCTGGTGCTAGTGCTCACAATTATCTGAAACAAGGAAGAGCTAGAGAGTCATGTTTATTTATTATGCTAAATGATAAAGTTGTTTTATGAAGCTGATGATTCCAGCAGGGTGAAAAACCTTCCCAGACATGGACTCTAAGCCCAGCTTGCCCAGATTTGAGCCTTACTCCACCATTTACCATCAGGGTGACCCCAGGCACAGTCTCTGGTCCTCGGTTTTCTCAACTGTAAAATGGGAAAAATAGCACCTACCTCGCAGGTTCTAATGAGGATTTAAACAACTTAGCACACATCTGGTATGAGAGCACTCAATGCATGTGGGCTCATTATTTTTACTCAAGACTTTTTACTTTCCATTCTGTTTAAAGTAGGGCCATAGTCTACTGTGACATTGTGATTTATAATAAGATATATATATTTGGTCTTTGTCCTCTTCCTGGCACAGAGCTCGTAAAAACCTGGGGATTTCTTAAGTGATAAGAGTGGTAAAGATGTCTTCTGTTACTCATAATAAGTCTCTATCAACCACACTTGAGTTTATCTTAATGAGAGAACTTTTGGGAAGCCTCGAAGAATGGGGGCTAGTTGCCGGGGAAACCAACTATGCAATCAGAGGAGAGAAGAGCTGGAGATTAAGTTCAATCACCAATGGCCAATGATTTAATTAATTATGTCTGTGTAATGAAGCCTCTATAAAAATACAAAAGAACATGGTTCAGAGAGCTTCCAGGTTGGAGATGCTGGTAGAGTAGCATGCCTGGAGAGGACATGGAAGCTCTGCCTTCCCACATATCTTGCCCTATGCATCTCTTCCATCTGGACGTTCCTGATATATCCTTTTATAATAAATTGGTAATCTAGTACAGAGGTTGCCATCCTTTTTGACACCAGGGACTGGTGCTCCTATGAGAATCTAATGCCTGATGAACTGAGGTGGAGCTGAGGTGGTGATGCTGGAGCTGGAGAGAGGCTGCAAATACAGATGAAGCTTCAGTCGCTTCCCCGCCTCTCACCTCCTGCTGTGCGACCCAGTTCCTAACAGGCCACGGACTGGTACTGGTCCATGGCCTGGGGGTTGGGGACCCTAATCTAGTAAATAAACTGTTATCCTGAGTTCTGTGATCCACTTTAGCAAATTAATGGAACCCAGACTGGGGGTTTGGGAAACCTCCAATCTATAACTCGTCAGTTAGAAATGCAAGTAACAACCTAGACTTGTGGTTGGCGTCTGAAATGGGGACAGTCTTGTGAGATTGAGCTGTTAATCTGTGAGATATGATGCTATCTCCAGGCAGATAGTGTCAGGATTGAGTTTAATTGTAGGACAACCAGCTGGTGTTGTAGAATTGCTTGATGTGTGGAAAACCCATACATTTGGTGTCAGAAGTGAGGTAGTGTTGTACACTAAGTCCTCAATTAAAGTCATCGATAAGTTCTTGGAAACTGTAACTTTAAGCAAAATGATATATAACAAATAAAATTGGTTTTGTTATATATGAACAAGAGTAAAGTTACTATGGCATATTTCTGGTCACAAAAACATCACTAAACTAAATGAAAACACCAAACGCTTCTAATATTAAGCATTGAAATAAATGTGAGCTATACATACATTTAGGAAAGATTAATAAAAACAAGTAAGATGATGGTTTTCCAACCTACTTATTCCAGTTCAAGGTCATGGGTGACCAGAGCCTATCCTGGCAGCTCAGGGCACCAGGAGGGAACCAGTCTTGGACAGGACACCCTTCCATTGCAGGAGAACTCTCTCTCTCACACACACATACACACTCAGACTGGGATAATTTAGATACAATTCATTTCACATGCACATTTTAGGGATGTGACAGGAAACTGGATTACCCAGAGAAAATCCATGCAAACATGGGGAGAACATGCAAACTCCACACAGACAGTGGTCCTGGCCAGAAATTGATTTTTTTTTTCTTCATTAACGTTATAACAAAACAGTGTTGAATAAAATGACATACCTCAGGGACCTGCTACTATAATAGAGTACTGAGAGTAGATGAGACACACAGGAAGAGTATGTTTTCTTTTACCCTAGTTCTCAATCTGACACAGCTCAGAAGAATTGGGTGGGTCAGGAAAGTGATCAGGGTATTTTTTGATTTAGTGGAGGAAACCTCCAGCTTGTTCACTCTTCATTCTTGCCATGCAATTCACAGATCGTCCTAGCAAATAGGGCACCAAAGCACTGTTTTTAAAAGGCAGAATGAGTGATAGTCTGCCCCAAGCACACTATCAATAGAATAGGTGCTTCAGTAAAGAGAGATTTTCTGTGTATGCTTGGGTAGGGCGAGGGGTACTAAAATAAATAAATAATAAAATAATCCACTATCTCCGAGGGGCTACGCCTCCCACATACCTCTGATAGATAAGTGTGTCCTTAGGTCTTTGGCCCATATGAATGAAGGACATACATCCCACAAACACTCTGGCAAAAGAATGGCAAGAAAGAATAACGGAATCCCTCGATACAATCACTTCAGAAAAGGGAGAGAAGAGATAACAGTTGCTCTGCTGGTTATACCAGATGAATCCGGAGCCAAGGGGTGAAGGTTACTTTAGTCTCCTGTCCACAAAAGATTCACCCATGTCCTGACAGAAATGTTAATGGGATGGTGGGATAACCTGGCTCCCTGCCCACTTCCAGCTTCCAAGGAGGGAGGAAGATGCAGCTGATTGGGCACTCCAGGGTGGCCGGGGTTCCAGTTATTCAGACCTGGTCTAGTCTACCTGGAAGAGGAGAGGCCAGGGCTCCAACAGAGGGTTGGCATGATGGGGCCTCTTTCCCAATTCCAAGGAGAGAGGATGGTGTAGTTTGTCGAGGCAGGAAGTGGCTGGCTGCAGGGCTAAGGAGAACTGCAGTAAAAGCATTTCAGTGGAGTGACAGTGCTGAACAGAGAGGAGACCTATGGGATGAGAGTCAAATGTCAGATCCCATGGAAATGCTGCAGTATGGTAGGACCTGGCTTTAGAAGAGAACCCTAGAAAATAGCCTATGTGGAGAAGTATGACTGCTCAAAAGGGACCTGACAATGGGAGCAGACTCTGAAGCCCACAGAGAGCCAAGAAAGTGAAGCCCCTTAAATGAAAGCAGCTAGGACACCATCCCCTTCTGAGAATGGGAAGGAGATCCCAGAACCTTTTAGCTCTCTTTTACCAGAGAGAAGAAGAAGTACTGAGTGAAGGGAGTCATCATTGATGGAAGTGAAACTCAGACCAGGCCTAGTAAAATGGGCCTGACCCAGACATCTGCTCCTGTGGAAAAGGACATCAATCTTCAGATAAGCCAAGTGGCACATGCCTTTCTGCTAAGCCCCAGAGCTTGCTTTGCCTCCAACCTGAGCCAAGAGGAAGCATCACTGGAGACAGGCAGGCCATGCCTGGCTGGGCTTTGGCTCTGCCCTGCAGGGGGTGCCATGACACAGGACAGCTGGGGCCCATAGCCAACCTGTCACTAAATCCATACTCTTGAGATGCCAGTTACTTTGTGTCTCGCCCTAGCTTCATCTGGTTTTCTGTACCCTGTCGTGGCCTCGGAGGGTCCTTGAGGGAAATAGGCTGAGCCCACTCTTGGCCAGAGTGTTAAAGGATGCAGGGGCCCCAGAGGCCAGGGCAAAGGTGGCAAAAGCCACTTGTGGCAGATCTCCAAGCGGAAGGGGACTGTTGAGGACTTGGGGTCCTGCTGTCCCTTCCCACAGCCAGAGTCTCTCTTCCATACACTAACTCATTTCAATCTCATAGTAATGTGCAAGAGGTATTATCCTCTGAGAGGTTTAAGATAATTAACTAGACAGCTTCCTTGGGCAGTGACCATGTTTTATCGCCAATGCCTGGCATATAAAGGGTGCACAAACAGTGTGGAGGGAATGAAGAAATGTATGGACTTGTCCCAGGTCACCTGGCAATGAGAAGTGGTGCGGGCAGGGAGCTTCAGCATCGCGACTCAAACCCACTGTCCTTTCCAGCCCAACCCCGTTCCCTCCTATTCAGGATGCCTGTGGGCAGGATGGCCGGAGGACTGAAAGCTAGCAGTGGGGAGGGAGCTGGCTGCTCAGACCACTCTAAGGACACGAAGGGGCCCTGCTTCTTTGAACCCTGAGGCATATTTAAAGGGAAACGTCTCACCTGAGCTCTCTCCAATTACTCCCTCAGCTTAGG